GTGGGGAGGTCGAGGAGGAGGGGGAGGGGGAGGGGGAGGGGAAGGTGGGGAGGCTCCGTTTGGAGGCTGAAGCAGCGGTAGGGTGCAGCGGGGGAGCCGGGGAGCCCCTGAGAAGGGCGGTTCTGTCGCACAGGAGTGAGAGCCTGGTGCTCCCTGCTCAGCCACGGGCCCCGGGCAGCGGCGCAGCCCGGCGAGGATGGGGATTGGGGCTGAGTGGTCACTGAAGACTGGAGGGCACGCAGTGGGCACTTTACAAAACAAAAATTCGCGACGTGATTAACGACGGTTCTTAGAAGTCCGGCGTTAGCGTGGAGCGCATTTCTCAGTTGGGGCTTCAGAAGTTAAAAGCCCCGCTGGTGGCCAGCGGGTCAGGGCGCGGCACTGCCAGCTGGCCGCAGCCGCTCCAGTGAGAGTCTGATCGCCGCCCGCCCCGGAGGTGACCCCATGGCGCGGCAGACCTCCCCTGGCCTGCCCGCTGCTCCCCTCAGCAGTGGACGTGGTCAGCCGGCCTGTCTGCTCCCCACTCTGTTCTGGGGAGTCCTCTCGCCGCCCCTGCACCTCTGGCCTGTACCCCAGTTCTGTGTGCACAAATAAATAAATCTTAAAAAAAAAATTAAGGGAGAACCAAAACCATCAAAGAAACGCATTGTAAAAAAATGAAGTATTCTGAAGTATTCTGCACACAGAACTGGCCAGAGGTGCAGGGGTAGAGGACTCCCCAGAGACAGAGCGGGGAGCAGAGCAGGCGGATAGAATGAAGCCCACTGCTGAGGGGAGCAGCGGGCGGGTGGGGAGGGGTCCGCGCCCTGGGGGCCCCTCCGGGCAGGGATGGAGCCGCTGCCGCAGTGCCACGGGCTGCTTCACAGAGCTTTATGTGGCCTGTGGTGCCACCAGCGAGGGCCCCGCATTTAGGATTTTCTTGTAATTTATTGAAAAATAAAGTTTTCTGCCTCACTTTATGTCCCTGCTCAGGCCTCACACCCACCACACGCCCACACTGAGCGCCAGCACATCCGCCCCGCACGCCAGTGTCCACAGCCCACGTCCACACCGCACACCCACGTCCACACTACAAGTCCACACTGCACACCCACGTCCACACAAGCACTTGAGAGACGTGGTATTTCGACATTAGAGTTTAAGCAAAGTCCACTGCCTGGGCCCAGCAGCGGGGCCGGGACGTGCTGGACGGCTTGGGTAGCGGCCACTGCTCTGACCTGGTGGTGGCCCCTGCCGGAAACCCCAAAGAGTCAAGTCTAAAGCAAGGGTCGCGCCTGTCCCTCTACGCTCTTGCTCACTTTCAAACTGTCATTTTTCATTCTATGACTGTTCCTTCCGTGCGTAACTCTTGCTACAGTATTTCCTCAGACACACACACATCGCATTGCGCCATTCTTCCTCTTCCCACCAGCACTCCCCCGTGCCATCGCCACAGTCGTGTGCTCTTCCTGCCCTAGTTTGATCCTGTCCCCTCTCCTCCCCCGCAGAACGTCTCCGGTTTATGGCTGTTTGTTGATGTTTGTTTTTACTTTATTACAATTGCCCCCCCCCTTTTCCTGATCCCTTTCACACCTGCTATGAGTGAGACCATCTGGTATTTTTCTTTTTCTTCTGGCTTATTTCACTGAGCGTGACCCCTTCCAGCTCCATCCATGTTGCTGCAAATGGCACGAGTGTATCTTTTTTGATCGCTGAGTAATATTCTTTTGTGTCTGTGTACCACATCCTCTTGATCTAGTCATCTATTTTTGGTTTTTGGGCTGATTCCACACCTTCTCTATTGTAAATAAAGCAGCAGTAAACATGGGGGTGCAGGTGTCTTTTTGAATCAGTGTTTTTGTGTCTTTGGGTAGATGCGTAGGAGTGGGATTGCTGGGTCGTAGGGAAGCTCCATGTTGAGCAGTTTGAGGAACCTCCAAACAGTTTTCCATAGTGTTGTACCAGTTTGCATTCCCACCTGCAGTGCAGGAGAGTTCCTCTTTCTCCACATCCTCGCCAACATTTGTTGTTGCTGGTTGTTTGAAGATGAGCCATTCTCACTGGGGTGAGGGGGTGTCTCATTGTGGTTTTAATTTGCATCTCCCTTACTACAAGTGAGGTTGAACATTTTTCATGTGCTTCTTGGCCATCTGCATTTCCTCTTTGGAGAAGTGTCTTTGTAGCTCCTCTGCCCATTTTTTGAAGGGGTCGTTCACTTTATCCTTGTTGAGTTTCATCAGCTCTTTATCTTTGTGATCAGTCCTTTATCATTTGTAATGTGTGCAAAACTTCTCCCAGTCAGTGTGGTGTCTGTCTGTTTCACGTCGCGCCTCTTCTGCTGTGCAGAAGCTCTCTACTCTGGTGTCGTTGCAGCTGTTGCCCTCTCCTTCACTATCCTTGCTTTGGGTGACACAGCTTTCAAGATGTTACTGAGGTATGTCATGTAGTGTTTTGCTAATATTTTCTTCTAGATACTTTATGGTTTCAGGTGTTATGTCTAGTTCTTTAATCCATTTTGAGTTGGATTTTGTGCATGGTGTGAGGTAGTAGTCTAGCTTCATTTTTTTTTTTTTTTTTTGCACGTAGCAGCCCAGCTTTCCAGCACCATTTGTTGAACAAACTTTGTTCCACTGCATATTCTTTGCTCCTTTGTCAGAGATCTGCTGTCCATCAAACTTGGTTTATGTCTGAGTCATCTATTCGATTTCCATCGGTCTGTATGTCTGTTCTTGTTCCAGCTTTGATTATTGTGGCTTTGTAGGAATAACTTGTCTCTCTACAAGAATTACTCAGTTGTCCTGGGGTGAAGTGGGAGGCACGTGCAGTTACATATGATTCCACGTGGCATAACTCAGAATGCTGCCTGTGCCTGTATGTTCAGTGTCTGTATGTCTTTTACTTGCGTTTAATTGTCTTGGCCTCGAGGTGTTCTGAATTGGTTTGGATGGCGCCTATTGTTATTGTAAACAAACAAACGAAATTGTAATCTTCATGGTAACTAATTTGTTAAAAATAATGATAAAACAAGTATTGGTATGTATGTTTATATATATATATATATATATATATATATTCCCCCTCTTATTTGGGGTTCATAATGTCAGGCAGATTGAAGTTTGGAATAACTAAGGTTTTGAAGAAAAAAAAAGTCTCTGCTTATAAAATAAGGAAAATAGAGAAACTACATGGCTGTGGTTTGAATGTCAGCAATTGTCTTACTGAATAGAGCCGGAGCTTTCACGGAATTGGGATTGTCTTTGCTGTTATTTTTTTTCTTCTTCATATTTGTGACAAAGCTTCCCAGAATTCCAAATTGAATTGAAACTTGGTAGTTTGTCATTTGGTTCCTCGAAGGAAGTTGTGTGGCACCTCAGTAGAGCTCCTGAGACGCTCCACGAAATTTCTCCTTTCCCCCGGGAAAAGCACTCAGCTCAATTTGTCTCATTTGGTATATTTACCACAGTAAAACTGGGAAGGAGCATTGTCACTTGGGAAGAGGTAAACCTTGCACATAAACACAACTGTTAACCTTGTTTATCTAAAGCATGTAAAAAAGAGTATTTTTTGATATGTATGTAACTTGTGACTGTTGATCATGTCTTGTCATATTATATTCGTCTGGTTTTTGCAGAAACTGTTTCTGAAAAAATTTTTGATATGTCTTTAATATGTATGTAAACTTTGAATCTGTTTTTGCATAACTTCAACAGGGTATTTTGTAGCGTAAACTATAGAAATTGGCGATGTGCGTCAGTGGCTTTGCTGAGCATTCTCCAGGAACTTCACACAGGGCTGAAGGAAGAGGATGAGCGTCTGCTGCTTTGTTTGTAGGGTTCCAGGGGCCTCCGAAGAAGGTGAGGAAGCTGGCCTCCGTTGGACGGCCTGGACAACCCGGACTGGACAATATTGAGGCCTGGTAACCTCGAGAAGAGGTGACCCCAGGTGGAATCTGCCGGAACTGATGTTGTTCCTGAAGCCTCCGTGGACTGGACATTGACTGCTTGCTCTGATACTACGGATTGTTCCAACAAGGCCAACTAAAAATTGCTCTTCGGTTAGTCGACCCTGTGATTTTATGAAAAAAATAGAAATATGGTTAAATAGCTTGAATTTGTAAATATGTTCTACATTATTAGATTAAGTTGGAATCAAGGTTGAGAGAACTTGTTTTTACAAAAGTTAAACCAGTTTTTGAAGATTTTTGCTTGTTCCTGTTAGTTTGATACACGCATATTGCAACATTTTTTTTCTCTTCACCTATATGGTGGACTATTTTACAGTAGTGACCATCATCCTGGGCATTCATGAACACTGCTGGTGACTGCTGCTTCTTACGCATATGCCGAAACCTTACAGCACTGGGAGTGTCACGGAGACTGTGCAGACCGCACCCTGTGATCTGTGCCACCACAGATAGGGTGGTATGAAACCAACAGGGGAGAATTGTCAAGGGGAAGGTGTCCTAAAGGAACTCTGCAGAGTCTTGTGGACTGCACCCCCTACTCCGGCGTTCTGGACCCTACACCCCGCTCCAGGGACTGGAAACTACAACTCCCAGCAGCACCCGGGAGGGAACTGCGAGGCCCCAGGGGCGGAGCTAGCAAGGATTCTGGGACATCTGGGGGATAATGGGGCACGATTGCATCTCGCCCTCTCTCGCCCGGGAAACGGCTCTCCGGCCCACGGGGCTCCGTGTGGTCAGTCAGCCGGGCCGTAAGGTGCTCCAGTGGCTCTGTGTCCCGCTCTCTCTCCCTGGGTTGCCCCTTTTCCTTTCCCCTTTCGTAAATAAACCCGTCACTGACCCTTCTGTGTGCACCTGCAGTGTAACTGAGTTGTGAGCATGTGAGGCCCACAGACAGGCGTCCGGCCCACTCTGGGTGCCGTGTGACAGTTGCACTCATGGTCAGAAAACACAGTCATGCTCTTTAACGGCCCCGGAACCAGTTATGACTGTCAAGCAGCAATGCTGAGCACATGCTGCGTGTCCAGCTCAGGACACACGAGGTGGCGCCAGGTGGGTGCTGGCGTTGCTGGGCCCAGCATGCACCTAGGAAGGGGCAGCCTGGCCGCAAGGTGCGACTCGCTTGGGTGAGACTTGTTGGCTTTCAGTGGCTCTGGAAGCATGAGAAAGGCACTTGCACAGGAGGAGTCACTCCGGATTCTGGGTTTCTGCCCCGTGTGGGGAGGATGAACCTCCTCCCGACCACGGGGAGCCTTGAGCCTGTAGGAGGAGAGTGAAGCCCCGGGGGAGGCCAGGTCCTGGGAAATGGCTGCAGGTACCGCGGGGCCTGCCTGGCCTCCCTATGGCACGGCACGCAGCGCCCTGCGCTGTCCACGCGGTTTCAGGACACAGCGTCTGCCTGCGCTGCATCCAGGCCAGCGCCGAGCTCATCCGCAGGTGAGAATGGCAGCCCGTTCTCTGTCCTCATCCCTAGCTCTGTCTCCATTGGTGCCCAAAGTGGAATCAAAGTGGGCGCACCCCTTAGGCCCACACACGCTCCTTTATCAGTCCTACCTCAGCGAGTCGGGATGAAGGCGGAGGGGGTGCAGAGGACCAGAGTGGTGCATGAAAATCCGCCGTGCGCCTGGCGCAGCAGCACTAACAGGAAAAGGAACCCGAGCGAGCAAGTGCCCTTACCGTCACAGCCTAACCACAGGCACCGCCCCGTCCGCAGAGGCGACAGCCTCGGCGGCAGAAACAGTGGGACGCTGCGGGGCCCGGCGGGAGCTGAGCGCGAGAGGCCCGGCGGGAGCTGAGCGCCAGAGGCCGGCGAGCTCGCGGCCCGCTGCTGTCTCCCAGGCGTCTGCCAGACCCCAGCAGCCTTTGCGCAGGAGTGGAAAAGGCGGGGGCAGCAGCCAGACCGAAAGGCCAAAGTGGTGCTGAACAGCAGGCGCCGAAGACGCGTTTCCGGGCTCCAGCCCCGCGCGAGTGCAGCGCCGAGCGGCCGAGCGTGCACGGCCAGCTGGCTCTCCAGAGGCCCCGGCCGCTGCCCCGAGTCTCTTCAACAAAGGGTGCCGCACCCCCGGAGCCCACGTGCCGGCAGAGAAGGTGACCGTCCTTCACACCACGCGCACGCTCGCCGGGGCAGAAGCGGCCGAGACAGAACGGAGCCCGGGGGCGCGAGCACTGGGGCCTGGCCGAGCTCCCCCAAAGGCAGACACCTCTGCACCGAGCGAGAGTCGCCGAGGAGCCGAGACCGCCGCGTCGGACAGGCTGTGCTGTCCACCACACACACACGGGACCCGCGCAGCCGGGGACGGCAGGAGGCAGGAGACTCAGGGTGACGGGGACGCTGTGAGCACGGGAGGTGACGGGCCGGCACCCGGGAGGCGCCAGGCAGGACGTCGCGTGAGGGCTCACGGGTCGGCCACTCGTAAGCGTCCCCGAGGAGGGCAGGGCAGCATGGCCCGGCTGGGAATGGGCCTCGGGGGGCCGTGGAGGAGCCCAGACAGCCAGGCAGGCTCCCCGGGGGTGCAGGCAGAGCTGACACAGGACAGGCTGCCCGGCGAGGGAGGGGC